GCAGTCACCTTTTGCCTTCCTCATTTAGCATCCCTAATGTTTAGCTCCCTCTGTCACTAATAATTGAATTGTCCAGCATTGGTTGTGGCAGGAAGGTGCAACAGAGAAGCCCGAGGATAACCAAGGAGTAGGCAGATTGCACAATCCTGTACAGGGCATGGGTTGGTAACAAATGTGCTGTATTTTAACAAGTCCTTGATCAGTGGCTGCCATAAGCCCTCCCTCACAGATTGAGTCATGGACTCCACCCACTCCCAGTGTTCTCACAGCCATTTTCCTCCCTATTAGGCACTTTATCACCTTCCATCATGCTGGAGATCAAGTCAGTACTCCTCCACTAGGAGCTTCCAGACTCTGCCCGAATGTAGTGATAAGCCCCTGAACATCCACATCCCCGTCGTAACAGCTCATTCTGTTAGCGTCACACTTACCCAGATCTCCATCCAACCTGGTGACGTGAGCCTACCCTTACCCAGCCAGTCCCACCTGGTCAATGACCCATGCCAGGTATGGCCATACACAGATCCCCTCCTTGAAGCCAAAGTGCTCCTGACCATGGGCACATATCCCCCTCAAGCCCACATCACCCTTTCCCTGCTGTGTTCTACTGCATTCATCCCCTTGCAGATCCTACTGCCTCTTTTCACAATTGTACAGCACCTTCCCCACAGCTGCAGGTTCAGGTCCCAAAGAGTTACCTGCTGATACTCAGTACTGTGAAAACAACTGCCGTTGTTCCATCCACTGCCACCTTTCCCTCACTGTCTGGAGGGTAGGCTCAATAGACTGACCATGACAAATACCTCAAATGACTTGGCCCAAAAACACTGGACAAGATGTGCCCAGTTCCCTGGCTAGCATCGATACACAGCCCCCAGAAAATAATGGAGCCAAAGGACCGACCGTGACCCACTCCCCTGACTATAGAGACATGTACCAGAGACTAAGACCACCCTGACCAGGTACCTGAATGTGGCCAATCCCCATGGCTGGTATGGAAGGCTGCCCTTGACTTCCTGTATTGGGACACCCAACTGACTAGTGTCTCTATAGACTTTGAGGAAGATATTACTCCCATTGTAGCAAGCAATCAACTGTGTTGTAAGTAAAAGATTTACATACCATACAGGCATATTGAGGCAAGCCAACCTGCTGTGTGATTCTGCTAGTTGGCACTGCAAGGCAAGGCATGCAGGTAAGCACTTCTTTTCATTCATTCTAGCCAGCATCAATTGCCCATCCGTAATTGTCCAGGGGGCATTTAAGAGTCAACCTTATTGCTCTGGGTCTGGAGTCACATGTAGGCCAGATTGGGTAATGATGGCAGTTTTCTTCCCTAAAGGACATTAGTAAACCAGATTCATTTTTCTGACAATTAACAATGGATGCCTGGTCATCATAAGACTCCCGATTTTTATTGAATTCAAATTCCACCACCTGCCATGGCAGGATTTAACCCTGATTCCCCAGAACATTATCTGGGACTGTGGATTAACAGCCCAGTGATAATACCACTAGGCCATCACCTTTCCTGAGCACTAGGAGAGTAAACAAGCAGTCCTGAGATACTGCCTTATACAATCTGTGAGCTGCTTGCACGTTCCTGTGCAACTGCCTTCCAACATTAGCTGCCAGTGTGTCCTTCATTATAAGTCTGTGCTGTCAGTGCACGGAGAAATGCCAAGATGATCATGAGTGGCTGCCAATGCCAACTTCCATGGAGGAAAGGTACCCTGAGTTGCAGTTTAGTTGTAGGCAACATGGAGGTCATTTGGAGCATGCAGAGAGCTGAATCTATTAAGTATATACTCTAGTTTCCACATGAGATTTCCCAACATCTAGCTTGTTTGGCAGGTTTGGTAAGATGGTGAGCTGGATATTAATGAGGCAATTTGGCATTAACAAGGCATTTAACAAGAAATCTTCACTGTCAACTGACAATTTATTAAATTTACTTTAGCAAAAATCTTGCTGTGCCACTTATGAAATGCACAAAAGATGGAAGACGACATTCTGGATGTGAAGATAGGCCTCACTGGACTTCTCATTGAATTTGCCAAACATTTTGAGAAGGGGAGAGAAAGACAGTGTTAATGTTGAGTTCAATATGACTTCTTCAGAATTGAAGTCCAAAACGTTAACTGCTTTTCTCTCTCTGCAAATGCTGCCGAACTTGCTGAGTTTCTACAGAACTTTGTTTCTATTTCAGATCTCCAGCTTCCGCAGTACTTTGCTCTTATTCTGGTACTGACCTGTGTAGTTCATGGTTTATGGTCACAGATCTACCTCACATTGAAAAACAGTCAAATGTCTTTTAGTTCTGCCCCAGGACAAAGTTGACCATGCATGTAGGACCAAAGGTGCCCTGGACTCAAACGAAGTACTCAATCCTAGGAAAACCCTATTCTTTCTCCACTGCTTGTCTTGGCTTGGGGAGAAAGACAGACATTCAGTTCTCTAAAGAGAACCTCAGGAACCTCCCTTGCATAACAGTAGTTATCAAATTGCAAATTATCTCCAAGTCTAACTTTGCAGGAGTGAGATACATAATAATCTATAGCCTAAGTTATCTTCAAACTGACTGGCAATTTGATTCTTGCCCTGCTCAGATGTAGGGATGGCTTCAACAATAACATCCTTAGTGAGGCACAGATGTTGCACACATTGTTCTTCATCGGAAATTCACATAGGAGAATTTCTTCTGAACGCTCTGGGCAGATAGTAACTTGCCCTGTTCTGGGTGGCTCCTGCAAGTCAAACTGCATTATAAGGGGAATGGCCGGGAGCAACTGGTTTATGCAGAAGACTTGAAGTCAGGAACAAATCCTTCAGCACCTGCCATACCACTCCCTATAGATTTTTGCATCTTGAAACAACAAGAAAACATCAAGCACATGCACAACAGTAGCAAAATGCAGAGGTAATTCGATAACACCTAGCCTGTAAGTAGTTGATACTCCTTTTAACTGCTGTTGGTGCAATATTCTTCCTTCTGTTCAATAAGCAGTGATTCAGAGCATGCATTAATTGTAGAAAAATGACAATGCTGACAAAGTGAATTGCTTATTTTAATTGGTGTCCACATGCTCTGCATTGTACCATCGAACAATCACTATGAATGCCTGCACCAACATGGAATCAGACAGGATTCACCTGTGCACACATCAGATATTATGAAGTTGCAAGAATACTCTGCGCACAAAACAAGTGCCAATTTTGCACTCGAGGAACTTGAAGGTAAAGAACAGTTACCTATCCTTAACACTGATTAGGATATTCTAATAAAATAGCATGGTTCACCATGTAAAACATGCTCTCTCCCTTCAGCAAACAGAACACTGGAGAAACTCAACAGGACTGACAGTAATTGTGAACAGAGAAAGAGTTAACATTTCAAATCCAATAGGACCTTTCTTCACAGACATACCAGATGCAAAATGTTAACTGTTTCTTTCTCCATTGATGCTGCCAGACTTTGCTGAGTTCCTTCAGCATCGTTTGTTTCAGATTTCCAACATACACAGGATTTTGCTTTTATTCTTCCTTCAGTCTGCATCCAACTGCATTGAAATTAACGTTCATTATGTACATTCCTATTGTAATACATTGTGTGATCAAAGCTGTGGAAATTCTCCCCTAAAACCCCAAATATGGAGGGTCATTTGTTCTTGGGACTTGCACAAATCTAGCAAGGTCACATAATATCCATTCCTAGATGTCCAGAGTGACTAGTGAAACATTAATGTTTCTAATATGGCGTAAGAAGTTCCAAGAAATTACACGATGAAAAAGAATTTTGCTTTATCCTCACTGTACTGCATCTTATAAAATATCATGGATTACTGACAAGACCTTTTTTCAAGACTTCTGAGGAATTTATTCCTCAGAAGTATTCAAACGAATATGCTGAGAGAAAAAGGCTAGTTCAAAGGAACAGGCTTGATTTATTTTTAGATTTTGCTCATATTATGTAAAATGTTTCAAGGTATCTTCCTGCCTACAGAAAGTGATGTGAAACGCAAATTATATTAATGTAAGCTTGCATTAGAGCCTAATTGTGAGAAATAAATGGCATTAAGTAAAATTCCTCTATATATAGTCTTTCTACATATTCAATAGCTACTGTAACATTAAAATAGATATAATTTTCTAAGAACATTAATCACCACAATGGTCAAAGCTAAAATATTTTCAGACTGTAGCACCACCATGTGGTAAGTGTCACTATGAAAAATAAATACTATTTAGCCTTCTAAGTGGCATGCCAGTTACAACACAAAACTTTGCAGACCCACCCTGATGTCTACTTGAAGTCCAAGTTATCAAGTGTATTTAAGACAGCGATGGATATGTTCTTGATTAGTAAGGGGGACTCAAGGATTACAGGGAGAAGGCAGGAGAGTGGGGTTGAGAACCACATCAGCTACGGTCAAATGGCGGAGCAAATCCGATGGGCCGAATGGCCTGATTCTGCTCCTCTATGTTATGGTCATCACATTGTTAAGCATCAGGTTACACTCCAAAATACAATTCACTATGTGCAGGTAGAGAGGGGAAAAAATATCTAGCAAGTCACTCAGGGGACATTCCCCCTTATTCCAGCTGATCCAGCCCAAAGATGAAATGTTAATAGTTCAGCTGTCAATCAAGACAAAGTCAAAAAAGAAAAAATTAACTTGGCATTTTTGATTAATCCACGTGTGGCTTATTTGAAAGGGCTGAATTGCATTTCTAGCATTTTCCATTTTTATAAATGACAGGCAATGTTCATAGACCCCTATACATAGGAAGCAGCCATTTGGTCGATCATGTGCGCAACATCTTGAGAGAAGCTTTCCCCCAGATGCCTGCAAAATTTGAATTCTTCAAGATTGTGTCCAGATTTCAACAACCTTCCAAGTGAAGAAATTTTGCAATGGTTCCCTACCCTGTTGCCATTTATTTTAACCTAAGACTTTGGATTACCTGCTTGCAAAATAAAAATACTTAACTACGAAAACTCATTTGATCTCTGGGACTTTTATTTCTAAAATTCACACATGTAAAATTAGTACTGATATAATAATAATGGTATATTTTGAATGGCAGGTTAGCGCTTGTACCAACATTTTCCTGTGTGATAAAATTTCAGTTATATGTCAGTGTCATAACAAGTAACTTTACCCTGATGACAAAATATGAGCTGAATGTCTTCGCTACAAGGCAGTAGAGTACTCAATACTTAAACATCTGCTTTTAAGTGATCAAAAATTAAGAATCTGATCAGATCTTTCGATTCCAATTCCTCCATTGTGTTAACCTGACGTTATGTATATTATCATAACGGCAAAACAAAGTTGTATTGTATGATTTATGCAATAGTTCCATTAGATAGTAATCCCTCGAATGCTTACTGATACTACATTTTCTTCATATTAACTTAAAATATAACTGCCCGATGACAGGTAAAGTTATATGTCAAGATTCATTTATGGTGTACAAATTACTGCTCCTGCTGCACACAAGTTTTATTTGTTCAAAATAGTAGGTGCTAATAAATAGGTGCTCATCACAACATTCTGTAAAGATAATTTAGCAAAAATGATTTGAAATTAATGGGTTTAATGTAATGGTTTCACACTGCCCTTATCCAACAAGGGGGGAAAAGATTACCCTACTACAGACCTTTGGCAATTGGTCAGAGAAATCCACAGTCCAGACCATCCTATCATCTTGAATGGAGGCCTACGGCATAAAATGGTTCACAATGGAAAAAATTCGTTTATTTTAAAATTTAGCATTCGCAGTTAAGAGTGGCACATAAAAGTGCCTTTTCTGGTTAAGAAACAAAGATACTTTGCTTCAAAGCTTTCAATTTTCAAAAAGAAAAAATTTTAGATAAGTCATTTTAAAGGCAATCTGGTGTGATTTAAAAAACAGATACAATTGATAATTTGATTTTCTTTGTGTTTATTTTTCAAAATGATACCTCACTGGCTGTGAAACATTCTATGTTGTTTAAGGTTATATGGTATACCATATAAATTCAAGCTTTTTTTAAAAACAAAAGAAAAAACCAAAAAAAAAACAACTTAATTTCAACACTAGATCTATAATGTGAACATTATCGCTTTACGTACATTTTCTAATGGAAGTAATAGTAACCAGAAGGGACAGAGTTATGGTAATCAACTCACAGCACATTCAGAGTTATGCAATAGTTTATATCTGTACAACTATATTAAAGAAAAAAAATGTGCACCATTTGTTTTGCACATGACAACGTTCACCCTAAAGAAATAATTTCAATTAATGTATACTTCACTTTCCCTCAGAATGTCTTCTTTTTCATGGAAATACTGGCGAAACCATTCTATGTGTTCAGTTTTTTGTTGTACTGTCAAGTACGGATTCTTAGATAACCCATTGACAACTAGCTCCATGAAATGGCGTACTGGTCCTTGCTCTGGGAATCCCTTCAAATGTTTCTCCAGAAATATGTGTTCATGGAATTCCACACCTTCCTCAGCTTCCAGTCCTAAAATAGCACCATGAATATAAAAGCTAGTTAGCTATTTGAGACAACAAAGCATTTTTACCACTCAAATTAGTTCTAACAAGGTGTGTCCTTTGCCAATCATAACTATAATTCTTTTAAATAAATCTCACCAGCTTCATTGTCAATAGGAAACTGCCTGAGTTTTCCTTCCTTTGTCCAGCGGATCATCTCTTCAAACCCATTTCGAGGCAATTGTTCTGTCGCAGCTGCTATTTGATTGGCTAGTTCAGTATCCCATAGTGATGGCAGAGAAACTGTTTCAAATGCAATTTAATCAAATGGTTATACACAGGGGCACTACTCAAACATGGTGACAATTAGCAATGAATATTTACCCGTATCATTACAATGACTATCCAGCTACTTTTAGAAAGTGCAACAGTATTTTGACAAATAGCAAATCACCACATTTAAATTGTAGGAAAATCTAGGGCTGGTAACTGAGGAAGAGACTGTCAGGAGTTCTGTTTCTGTGCTACCAACACAAATGATTAAAGAGAAACTGAAACGTTTATATGAATACAGTTGTTCAAAGATACATTGTATTCATATTTTTCTATAACTTGGATAGTAAGGGATGCATTTAATAAGTGCAATTTAAAAAAAAAATTAAAGTTAAAGAGTAAATATACAGAGTGGGAGCAAAGCTAAATAAGACCTCTTATTATGAAGCAGTCCCTGATACAGTTTGTTCCATAATATTACCTAACTTCAGTCCATCTCGTGCATCCAGACTGGACTACGTTGTAAAGTTCTCCTGGTCAGCTTCTCAATTTCCACCCTTCATAAACACAGGTTTATCCAACATACCTTATCCCTATCCTAATTCACACAAAGCTCTGTTTATCAATCAATCCCATGGTCTCTGTCCTATATTGGCTCCTGATCCACAAATCCCTTGATTTTAAAATTCTCATCCTCACATTCAAATTCATCCATGATCTCACGCCTTCTTGTCTCTAATTCCCTCTAGCCGTACAACCCTCCAAGAATGGCTACTTGCCCAGAATTTTATTTTGGGAGGTGTCGGGAACTAGAAACCCATGTAAGTGAGCAAAGTTAAAAGAAAATTAGGGGCGACTGGAACTGGGTGTAGAATGGTAAAGAGGCAGAGTTTTGAATGAGCTAGATTACAAAGTAAACAGCATTGTTAGAATGGCAAACAAGAAACCACTGAAGGGGTCAACTCTGAAGGTGACACAGAAATTATATCTTCAACTTGTGTGCAACATGAACTGTAGCCGAGATTAGCAATATTACAGATGGAAGTAATGATAGTCCATGATAGAGAACAATGAAGAGGAGACACGGCTCACAGCTGAATATGAAGTTACAGTTAAAACATATTTTATTTAATCTGGGACAGTGATAGGAGGGGAATGAAATCATTGTCAAGAGCATGGAAGGGGAAAGTTCCTAGATGGACACGCACTCAATAATAAGTAGGCGTGCCAATTATTTTACCAATTACATTTAAGAGGTGCCATCCATAGCTAGAAGAAATCTCCATTCTCTCAAATGAGCTGTATTCAATTACCTGCCGAAATTAAAGAGAGCTTATTTACCTCCTACCAACTATCCTTTAATTCTGAGCAGCCACATTAACTACTGTACAAAGAATTGAAAGAGGTTTGTGCAAATTACTCACTTATTCTAACATTTTTTAATTAAAAATATTTTTCTAATAAAACAGATCAGAGATGTTATTTCACACCTGTGGAGCAGGTGAGTCTTGAACCTGACCCTCTAGATCCAGAGGGAGTGACACTACCACTGTGCCACAATCTATAAATACCACTATAGATGAAGAACACAATGTCATTTACTTTGAACGCCATTGCAAAGTTTGGTCTGGCATAAGTTAACCAAGCACTGAGGTTGTTGACTTGCTTGCCGAGCTGGCTTGTTCTCGTTCAAATGTTTCATCACCACGCTGGATGACATCATCAGTGAAGCCTCCAATGAAGCGATGTTATTCTACTCCGCTTGGAATTTATACTGTCTGGTTCGTTTTTGGCGAGTAGTGTCATTTCTGGTTTTGATCTGTATGGGTTTGTATATGGGGTCCAATTCTATATGTTTGTTGATTGCATTACTGGTGGAGAACCATGCCTTTAGGAATTCTGCTCATGCCTATACTAAATAAAAATTTAGAAAGAACTCCAGATGCTGTAAATCAGAAACAAAAACAAAGTTGCCGATATAGCTCAGCGGGTCTGGCATAATCCGTGAAGGAAAAAAACCGAGTTAATGTTTCGGGTCCAGTGACCCTTGCTCAGAGCGTTCCTCATTTCTGAGCAAATGTCACCAGACCCGAAACGTTAACTCTGATTTTTTCCTTCACAGATGCTGCCAGACCTGCTGAGCTTTTCCAGCAACTTTGTTTTTGTCCCCGAGCATGTCTATGTTTGGCTTTCCTCGAGTTTGGAATTCCAAGAGGCATGGTTCTCCACCAGTAATGCAATCAAACATACATATTGAATTGGACACCATATACAAACCCATATAGATCAAAACCGGAAATGACACTATTCACCATAATGGACCAGATAGTATAAATTCCAAGCAGAGTAGAACAACATCGCTTCATCAGAGACTCCACTGGTGATGTCACCTAGCATGGTGACAAAATGTCTGAACGAGAACAAGCCAGCTCCCTCACCCACAACCCAGGCTACAGATCTTTGCCAGAACTTTAACCAAGCACTCTACGGGTGAAAAAGGCTAGAAATGCAAAATCCCTCTGCTGCACGTATACATTCCCCATGCAATCATTAAAAAAAGTAAGTACCAATAACATATTGAAATGCTGTTCCTTCTGCAATTTTTTTTTGTTGATGCATGAATAGACAAACTGAACGAATGCACGTGTCTTAAGTTCCATCAAAGCAGCTAAGACGACTTACACAGTGAAGAGATGAAGAGGCATTGCACCAGATTCAGAGTGGCACATGATAAGGCATAAAGAAAAAGCATTTGATGGCATATCATCCAAACTCAGTTATTTGGCAACACTTAATTCATATTCAAAAGAAATACAACTAACCAGCTTCTGGCACATCCTCAGAGTCACCAGCATGTATAGGAAAAATGTTTAACTTCTTCCCAGTAAATAGCCCTTTCCTAAATAAAGGAAACATAGAATGCTATGAAGTTTTTATTCTTATTAGAGAAAAGGAACAATGTTATTCATATAAAAAAAACTTAGTGATCAAGCAATGTTCTTATAAGAAAAACACCATCATACTATGGTAACAGTGTGGAGCTGGAGGAACACAGCAGGCCAGGCAGCACTCGAGGAGCAGGAAAGTTGACGTTTTGGGTCGGGACCCTCCTTCCTCCAGCTCCGCACTGTGTTATCTCAGACTGCAGCATCTGCAGTTCTTACTGAGTGAATCATTTTATGATATATGCATGGATTCTTAAAAATGTAGATATTTGTTCATGCCACCTCAGTTTGCTACTTCTGGAAATTTACAGTTTTAGGTTTCCCACCCTGAATCGTAAAAATTACAGAGGAAGAACTTGTCTTTCATATTCTCAAGATAGCCCAAAATTCTGATTTGCTATATATCCCAGCGGTCTTCGCAAACATGGGAGGTTTGAAATGTTTTCTATAAATTATTTAACCTATTTTTCTAATGATCCTCTTCAGAGATATTACTACTTTGGAAAAGGCGGGACTTGAACCTGGGTCTCTTGGTCCAGGGTAAGGACACTTCTGCTGCACCACAGGAGGGCCCTGGATTTGTGCCCATGTCACCAGAGCACTAACCTGGGCTTAACTAGATTATTAGTCCAGTGACATTACAATACTAAGATGGTGTAGTGGTAATGTAGCCAGACGCAGCTGTTGGCTTATGCCCAGCAAAGCATGCTTTAATGATTTTGGTTGATCAATCAAAGTTGGCTCATTGGCTCTCCTTTGAATATTATCAGAGGATCTTTAATATCTGAGAGGGGGTGACAGGCCCTTGGTTTAACAGTGCATTTGAATGCCCTCCCGACAATGCAGTATGCCTTCGATACTGCACCAAAAGGACAGCCAAGATCATGTGCTGAGGTTTCTAGGCTGGGACTTGAATCTCAGACTCTGATTCATGAGGGAAGTTGCTGCCACTTAGCTAAAGCTGAAAGAAAAATATGAGTTTGATTATAACACCCCGCTGAAGTACAGCAGTCAGTCACAGGCATTGCACTTCAGCAAAAACACAGGTAAAAGTAGCCAGGATTAGCTGTACAAACTACAAATACAGTTTGTATAAGTCTGTTTTGCACTCTCGAGTTTACAAGCTGGATAATGCTCTGACCAGCAAATTTAAAGTAATAAAAAAAAAAATTCACCAGAGGAAATAGAAAGAAACCAAGGCATCGGGGCAAAAAGAAGAAGCAATGCCTGCAGACAAAAGCAAGTGGAAATGACAATCCTTTCCTTGAGAAGTGTTGTGGGGTGAATTACCCAACATTTTCAAGGCTAGGATCAACAGATTTTATTAGATAACAATAGCAAGGGCTATGAATCAAAGCCAAGTAAATGGAGTTAAAAAACTACACAGTTCAGCCAAGATTTAGTTAGATGGAAGAACAGGCTTACTCCTGGTCAGATATATTAACTTGAATATAGCAACATTTCAGACTCCAACTTGGAATGCAGATTTGGATCCACCAATCCCTGGAATGCTTTCTGCCACCAGCATTCAGCACTCAGTTGATAATGTTTTTGTGTAGACCTTTCAGAGCGATATTACTGTATATTTGATGATTTGATCCAGGAATAGCACAGTGTTTCATTTTTATCTCCTCTCCTGCTTTTCACACACCTGCCCCCACCTTATAACTACCAGCCCCAGTAAATCTCTCATTCTTCTAACTGGTTTATTGGACTTTAAGAGGGAAATATCAGGAATCAGTCCAACACAACTATCCAAAAGGAGATGTTTGCAAGACTTTATGGAAAACTCCTACTTAGATGTTTTTTTCATAAGTCATTAACAATTAATATAAATAATTAATTGGGAATCACCAGGTAAGCTTGCAACTTATTAACCTAAGACTTTCTGGTAGAACAATTCCCTTTTTAAAAAATCAAAAACATTTTTCCCATCTATCTGCATAACATTCAGTTTCACGTTACACAAGATTAATCACATTACCTATTCCTCATTGCATTAAATTCACTTGTGACGCCTCGATCAGGAACATATCCTTGCCCATCGTCATCAAAGCGGATTTGACTGACAGATCTTATCGCAGCCCGTGCACCAGGGCGCTTCCCAATCTTCATGTCCGCAATGATATCACTGAAGTCAACACAATTCAAAAACAAAGTTTACCTACAAATCCAGGTAAGCTAAAACTCCACTTACTTATTTCAGTACTAAAGATTTAATTTAAGATGCAGGGTTTTAGAAATGCAAATTACACGCTCCTCGCAAGTAATTAACTACAAGAGTAAACAGAAAGATTTAAGCAGCTTTCAGCTGATCCCAAGGAAATTAATTTGCTATTCGCACAGAATTTACCCAATACCAAGATCTGAATAAACAACAGGAAATTAGCTGAACCGGTTTCCAGAATTCTGTGTTGCTGTTAAAACACACAAAGCCAAAGGAATCTTTGCTCTCTAAATCAGAAGAATAAATTCCTGATTTTGTACAACCGCTTTCTCCACATACCCGTTGATGCCTTTTCAATCTAAAACCGCATCTTTTTCACAAACAGAGTGACTTGGCTTCCACAGCCTTCTGTGGTAGCCAATTCCACAGGACGAGTGAAGAAATTTTCTTCTTTTCAATGGCCTACCCCATACCTGGAGACTGAGAATCTTCATTCTGGACTCCCCAACCAGAGGAAACATCATCCCTGTATTTAGTCTGTCATAATTTTCTACATTTCAAACTGTACTGCACATCACAGCAAAAGAAAAATTCTGCAATCATTTCTAGACAGGGCCCTTCAGTTGAATAATTTGTTAACAGCTGAGCAGTAAACAGTGAGTTCAACCATTAGAATTCTGAGTTGTAAACAACTTAACACTAATAGATTAAAATTATGAAGTCTCTCAACCAGCTGGACTGTGTTTGACTTCCAGACATTGGTATTTCTGTGCTTTGGCTTTGCAGCTCAACTGATGTTATGGTGCTTCTTAATTTTCACAATACCTTTGTCTCCCCAATGTGATGTTCAATTAAGACTCTTCTACCCACCCAGATGGACACACCTCTGACAATAGCAAGGAGTTGTGCCTGGTGTCTGGACAATATTTATTCCTCAAGTCAACTTCAGAATAAAAATCTGTTCATTGTCACACTTATTTGTAATAAAAACAGTGAGAAAATTACTAGCCATACAATTGAGGTACAAGGTTATTGAGTTTTGGGACTTTAAAATTAGAGTCAAAGGTCACATGACTTGCTCTGAAGTCTGACTGACAGTAAACACGGATAACAAATAAAAGCAATAGCACTGCAGATGGTGGCAATCTGAAATAAAATCAGCGTGCGAAAGAAACTCAGTAAGTCCTGGCAGTATCTGCAGAGAGAAACAGATTTGATGTTTCGGCTCAGGGATGACTTCAACTGGCGATTTAATTTTTGGAAATCAAAGGAGGACTCAGATCGTTTTACTGAGAATGTGGTAAATGGAAGCAATAGCAGGAGTCCCTGAATTTACAATGAGTAGACCCCAAGTCTCCCAAGTGCCAGAAAGGTTTAAAAGGTATCATATTGTAAACAGTTATATTACAGACTGTCCACTTACCTTGCAGATGAAAAAAAATTGGGATCAAAAAGGTAGCTAATTAATATTTCAAGCTGGACAAAAGGTTAACATGTTCCACATTACAATGGAGAAGAGGGTAAAGGAAACTATATACACGAGTTCAGGTTACACGTTTTTCTATAAATCAACAAATACACATGTAGAGAGAAAACACTGCTTGGCATGGTGAACTACCGCAGCCAGATGTGGGAGGGAGACAGTTTCCAGTTGAAGTGATGTATTATTCAGTCTTTTCAGATTCCAGATGGTTTGTCCATTCATCATCAGAATAATCATCAAGCTGACTTTACTGCTGACTGTGGATAAAAGAAACTCTGAAAATTGAGGACAACACTTGGATTTGGTTCCTTTTTGATACTTTGCAAAGTAGAAATACAGAAACCTTTTAAAAAGCTGGGAGCAAAGTGAACTGTGAGCTAAAAGAACTAATTCCCTGGACAGTACGACAGCAGATAAATATACAAGGAGCTTGTCACTTTCTGTAGCTGAAGTACCACTTGACAAAGTAAGGGAATCGTTAGTTAATGGTGCTTTTGTCATTTGTTACAATAGATGTTTTAAAATGCTAAATCCTTTGTCAAAATTCTTTCCTAATAACTGGAAACACTTTTAGAAAATATTGTTTCTAAAGAGATTATAACAATTCCAACAATATCTGTACTTCAACAGTACTTTATTGATTTTAAAAAGGTCTTTGGAATATACTGGAATCTTGAAAGATACAAATCTCTCTCTTTTCGATCAAATAAGTAGAAAATTTGTAGCAATCAGAAACTATAAAATAGCACTGATGGCAAAATGTTTTGTCAGCACTTTATTCCAAGTGGACATTTCCTTCATTCGTCTGTTTCAATAGTTAATACTGCCAGATCATCATAGCTCAAATGCGTTGGCAAAAATTCCACATGAAAATTAACCAGCGTGTCACAAAACAAAATGTTAACACCCTGAAGATTTTGAAATACAAGCACTGCTGAGAAAAAAATATTGTTGAAACTTTTTACCTTGAAATTACCAGGATATTTTATACCATACAGGTTGAGATGATTACAATACATTGCCATCCCTTTATCACAAGCACACAATATTTCTTCTATACTTCTTTGTATGTTGTGGTTACTATTCAGGACCCTATACGTCCCACCCACAAGTGACTTCTTTTCCTCCATCAAAAATGATTCTACATCTTGAACACCTTAACCGAGGTCATAGAATCATAGCATCGCCAAAGTGTGGAAGCAGGCCATTCGGCTCAAGTCCACTCCAACCCGCCGAGTGCATTCCACCCAGACCCTATCCTCTCTAGACCTGCATTTCTCATGGCCAATCCACCCACAGCCTGCACATCCCTGCAAACAATGGGCAATTTAGCATGGCCAATCAACCTAACCTGCACATCTTTGGATTGTGGGAGGAAACCGGAGCACTTGGAAAAAATCCCGCACAAACGAGGGCGAACGTGCAAACTCCACACAGACAGTTGCCCAAGGCTGGAATCGAACTCGGGTCCCTGGCACTGAGGCAGTAGTGCTAACCCCTGAGCCACCGTGCTGCCCCAAGGTCATCCTTAACTACTGCACCAATACCACCACTGATTAACTGTGCTATCCTTCTGCTGTTATCTGATACTCCTCAATATTCAGAACTCAATTGTCATCATCCTGCAGCCACAACCTGGTAATGGCTAATAAATCATATTTATTTACTTCAACATGTGCAACTAATTCATTTACTCTCTTACGAATGCTACATACATTCAGATACAGACCCTTTTCTTGGTATCTCTGAAGCATCTAGTCATGTCTGCTAATACGTTCTTCAAATTATTTTTCCTCTCTGTCCCTTTCTGCCATTTTTGGACCTTCGTTTTCCACATTAGCACTTTGCTTTTTTATCCAAATTTGATCTCTCATCCACATCATTTAGTTCAAAAGCTGTTACATAGTTACACGGCCTGCTTGTGAGAACACCAGTCTCAGCACAATTCTCACCTGCCCCAGAAACCAATTTTTCCACACCAGTCTTTCATCAGTCACTTCTCAGATCTTGTTCAATCTATGCCATCTTGCATGTGGCTCAGGTAATAATCCAGACCTATACTCAGCTTTATAATTTAGCAGCTAATTCCTCAGTACTCAGCAAACCTCTTTCCTCGTTCTGTGTCATTGGTACTAATATGGAGAATGACCACTGGGTCCCACTGCAAGCTCTTCTCCAGCACAGAGCAGATATCCTGAAACCTGGCACCAGGCACACAACACAGCCATCTGGACTCCCACTTTTGCTACAGATCCCTCTCACTATACTGCGCCTAGGAGCAACAAGTGATGTAGTGGTACTTTCTCAAAATGGTTTCTTGTACCATGGTATCATGGCCTGTTAGTTCATCCACCCTGCAGCCTTCACTCTCATACAAATCAGCTGGAAACAAATTTGTTGTACAATTGCAAAGGCTGAGGCTCCTCCTGCCCTCTGGTTCTCCCTACCTGCATCACCTGCAGTCACACCCTCCTATGCTTTCCCACTGACCAAAATCAAAAGATCCTAAGCAAAGCAGTGTGACTATCACCTGGAATAAAATGTACACGTAACATTCCTCCTCACTCAGTATCTGTAGTTGGGCCTCCAGAACAATAACTCTGAGCCCAAGTTCCTGCAACCTCAAATATTTATTGCAGAACTGTTGCCCTGGATCACATTTAGTCTCCAGAAGCTCCCACATCCAGTAATCACAGTCTATTGCTTCGTCTGCCATTCTTCAAAGTGTTAATTAGCAGTTACTGGGTAATTAATACAGCATATACCTAAAATAGTTTAGCATCACCAGGGAACATTACAACAATACTAAAATACCACAATACTTAAAATAATGATTAAATTTCACGTTTCAGTTACTGATTCACCTGCTGTTTCTGTACACAAAACTAGAAATCAAATACTTGAAGTTGTAAAAATATAATAGAAGAAATAAAACCTTCTCCCCAATTTTCACAGAACTCCTCACTCATTTATTTCTTGCAGTACACCTGACTTAAAGCTCTTTTTCCACTATGAAACGAATTCCCACTTTGAACCAAATTCCCAGACACAGCCACTGTCTCAGGCAAAGTCTCATGCATTCTGACCATACTTCCTTATTACTTGATTAATTAATTCTCCAAACCAACACCTCTACCAGAATTTACTTGCCAACCAATCAGCACATTCTTCTCATACAGTACAAGAGAGTTGGTCCCATTACATTGGCATTCTTGCAAGAAGTCTTGACGAATGCAAGAGGAAAAGCTCGACAGTGTCTTTTTTAGAATTCGCAACTTCTATACTACCAAAAGGTTAATTTTGAAATACCCAACAGTTCAATGTATTTCAAGGCTAATCGCATACTGATGGAAGCCTTTCTCCAATTGGTTTCCAACGATAACTTTATTTTGAAAATTTATATTTACCAAAGCCAATCACACTATCTATTCATTAATAATAGCGAAAGAGTGTTCCTGTTAAGAACAGTGGAAAATATTGC